ACAGAATCGCATGACTGCAAGGGGGTAGACATGAAATTCCAAATATTATAGAAACGCTTCAGTTTTTTAATATTGTCATTCAAAAACGAAAAATTCAACAAGTAGAGCTCTAAAAATTCTGAAATCCTCCAAGAAAAACAATTTGTATAAGTCCAAAGTCGCGATATCGTTCTAGTGCATGAGCACCAGCCGATGTCCATAGGGGTCTGTGGTTTCATACCTGTGTACAGAGTAGTCTGGTAAGAATTAACCGACCCTAGCCAGAATTACCCTCGCGTCGACCAATTTTCAACAATTTTACGTCTTCCTTCCCCCCCCCCTTCCAGCCTTGTTTCATAGTACTCCAGTATTGTAGTACTAGATTAGTCGACTTATTCCATTTTCGCCCACCTTCCTGTTCCTTCTTTTCTGGAGTAACGAGAAATGTTCTGATTTAATTTATGTGTACTTCTTTCCTGATCTTTACGAAAAGTCGACAAACCCCCCCCTCCCCACAGGTACTACCGTCTAAAAATCGCAAAACCCCAAATATAATCTGATCAGAACATGATCTGTTGAAAAGGCGTAGAGACACGTCCACTCCCGAGCAAGCTTAAACGCCGCTGTGCAGTTGTACTAGGGGGTTCGTCTTTGATTGTTTTGAGAAGACTTGAGAAGGAACTTTTTGATATGTGAAGAATTTTTCGCGACATTTTTGTGACGTTTGAAATCCTTGTCGCTCAATCCCCCACCTTTTTGCTGAACTTTTCGGGAACTAGAACAATGGAAGGTAGATGAAGGTTGGTCTATGAACGAACAAATGGAGTTGGGGTGCCTCTCAGGAGTGAAAGAGGACATACTTGCCCCCGATAACTTGCTCCTCATAATGGGTGAGCCTGCTTTCAGGAACATATGTATACGACAGATTCAAAAATGGAGCCATCCTTGCCCAGTTACCGAAGACAGGTAAGGCATCGTTAGACCAGATAGATTGCCGACCATGTAGGACTTTAAACAAACAACTGCACGACCACCGATCTGATGATCGGAAATCGAGACCCCGTAACAGCAATATTTATTGTTTATTCAGATTTGGCGATGAGATCTCGTCCCTGTTTCTAAATATTATGAGAACTGCTGCACAAGATTTTACTTCTGTAGCCGTGTTGGACTCTGAAAGGGAGCAGTAGCAGAGTCTAGCTACTTAACTTGATGCAGCGTTAAATGCGAATTAACGTTGAGACGGGAATTTCCAGCCTTTCGCATACGAATCTTGTATCATTTCATTTCCATTAGAGGAACCCCAAGTCATTTTAGTTCCTCTTGAACGCTTATCCCCCCCACAGTCCCATCTCACGAGGAGCTCCTAAACTACACAAACACCGTAACTCATGAATCCGGTCCCGCTCCGCGATACGACGAATTGTAACCCCCAAAGCACGAGCTTTGATTTTTATTCCGAAGCTGCCTATTCCTGTCGCTTGATAAAACCCAGACGTTTATAAATCGAGAGATGCCATTCCTCGCAACAGCTGGGTTAGCATCAGGGCGCTACTCATCTCGGCGTGACGTAAAATACACTTGGTGCAACTGCACGCTGCCCACACAACATCACGTGTCGATTCCTAGTTTCGAATAGTTTATTGTTTCGCTTTTTGATGATCAGTGTAGGAGTGTATAGCTGTATCCCGTTGTTAAGTAAGTGAGGTTAGAGCTGTCGTCAGCTAACATCACCTGTTAGCCATTCAGCAGATTATAAGTAGCGAAAGATGAGCGACTTGTTCACCTTTTTATGGTTTTATGAAGTTGTTCAGTTTTTAGCCTTATTCCTATTACACGTTTCAGG